TTTTTTTTTTTTTTTTTTTTTTTGAGTTGGAGTCTCACTCCATTGGCCAGACTGGAGTGCAGTGGCCGCTCCCGGCCACCGCAGCCTCGCCTGCTGGGCTCCGGCGATCATTCCGCCTCAGCCTTCCAAGGAGCTGGAACTACAGGCGCGCACTACCACGCCTGGCTAATTTTTTGATTTATTGTAGAGATGAGATCTCACCAAGTTGCCCAAGAGGGTCTCGAACCCGTGGGCTCAAGCAATCCACTCACCTCAGCCTCCCAAGGCACAGGATTACGATTACAGGCTGAGTCACTGAGCCCGGCAAGAAAAATCTTAACATTTAAAGCCTAACGACTCTTCAAAGGAGATAGTCATGCACCATATAACGATGTTTGGTCCAACAACACATATACAAATGGTCCAAATCCATGTGTAAGATAGTAGTCTTCTACGATTATAATGAAGCGGAAAAATCCCTATCACCTAGGGCACAATCCCCTATTATCTTGTAGCATTTGAAATTCATGCTGTGAAAATCTGAGGTCTACTACAGTACATGAGTAGGCTAAAATTCCCCACCTACTTGGCCAGATTGACTCCCTATTAGCTACTCAGGCAGCATCTTCCTCACTTGTCCTTTGAAGGGTTCCATGTGATTCGATGATTCTTAAATGTGGAGCCTCCTGAACTACTCAGCAAATAAATGCTCTACCATAGAGTCCCTTAGCGTTTTTCTTCTTCTGAGGCCATTTTGCTTTCAATTACCATCCATGAGTTTCATGTATACAAACAAGAGAAGGCAGCATGCTAGTCTCCATGTGGCATCTGACAAATAATTTGTAATCAATGTTTTTTGAACTGAAGACAATTTTATTATATATGCCAAAAAAGTATAAGCAGCAAAGCAATCAAAACAGATTACTGGCCAGGAACAGTGGCTCACACCTATAATCCCAACACTCTGGGAGGCTGAGGCAGGAGGATCACTTGAGGCCAGGAGTTTAAGACCAACCTGGGCAATAAAATGAGACTTTGTCTCTAAAAAAAAGAAAAAAGAAGAATTAAAAAACAAAAAGATTACTGAATTAAAGCTAAAAGTCCCCAGTGTAATAAACTGCTGGTATCTATCGTCCTGGATATACTGAGCACCTGTGAGAAAAATGTCTTTGCTGAGTTCACTGCTTTACCTTCCAGCCCCTCAGAGTGGCAGTGCCAAGGGCGCAATAAATGTATTGAATCAATTAATGAAACAAGTTCCACTTAAACATAAAAATAAAGGCATAGTCTTAAAGAGTTAGAAAGGAGAGGCTATAGTGGCTGACATCTGTAATCCCAGCATTTTGGGAGGCAGATGCAAGAGAATTGCCTGAGCCCAGGGTTTCAAGGCCAGCCTGGACAACGTGGTAAGACCTCGTCTCTACAATAAATTTTTTTAAAAGTTAGCTGGGTGTGCTGGCGCGAGCCTATAGTTCTGGCTACTTGGAAGACCGAGGCGGAAGGATCGCCTGAATCCAGCAGGTCGGGACTGAGGTGGTCGTGAGAGTACCACTGCACTTCAGCCTGGGCGACAGAGTGAGACTCCAACTCAAAAAAAAAAGAGTTAGAAAGGAAAAGAAAGCCAGGCTCGGTGGCTCAGCCTGTAATCCCGCACCTTTGGGAGGCTGAGGTAAGTGGATTGCCTGAGCCTGCGGGTTCAAGAGCCGCCTGGGCAGCGAGACCTCATCTCTACAATAAATCAAAAAAATCAGCCAGGTGTGGTAGCGCACGCCTGTAATTCCGGCTACTTGAAAGGCTGAGGCGGAAGGATCGCCGGAGCC